CACCAGATGCTGATAGAGCTCCCAAGAACTGCTCACCAGAACAGTGCTTACCAATGGTTAGAGCATTGGCTTCCTGTTTGGTGTACATATTTTCCACAAATGTTGTAAATTATATAGTGTGGCTGAACAGGATGTAATCTTTTGTTGTCTAAAGGTGCTGCAGTTAAGAAAAAATCTTTTGTCTTTCAACATGGCCCTTAGTGGAGTTTTTTGGATTTTACTTTGAAAACATTAAAAAATTGTAAAATCATCGTGACAATATCCAGTTGTTTATAAAAGGAATTGGCAGCTCGTATTCCCCATGAATGATTCAGAACTGACGTTTAGTTTCATCGTGTTTGAGCATCCTGCCATACCTATTTACTTTAACATATTTCTTTTGTAGAGTGTAAGAGAAAGGTGATGATAAATAGTTTATGTAAGTGTGCTGGCTGTAAATGATGCTGAATATAATATTTTATGCAATTAAGGGCTTATGGAACGTATTAAAGTTTTTTTACTTTTATTGATAATAAGGAATGTTTGCGCCTCCACTATTGTATTGTTTCTGGATATGAAGCCATGTAATTATTTCTGCTGTTATAAGTGCCATAATTTTAATAAAGCAAATGTATATATGAAATCATTGTAACTGGTATTTCCTGAGAAAGTTCATTGAAAGTAAAACTTAATATCTTCCTATATTACGTTTTGCTATGTGTGTGTTTATTGGAAATATTAGGATAGAATTTTCCTGTGTATTTTATACTGAAATTTTATTTGGTTTCTTTTTATGATTGAATATAAAGTGTTTGACATATACTAGGTTTATTAGGTGGTCATTGACTTGGTTAAGAGTCTATTTGTCTATTTTATTTCCCCTTTGTAGGGAATAAGATTAGTTGATTCCATGGCATATGTATGTATTTGGAAATAGATACATTGTATGCGGTTCTCGGTTAGGTGGAGGCTGAAGTGAGATTTTCCTTGCCTCGGGAGAGGCTGCGTGTCTGGGGCCAGTTTACGCCTGAGCCCGACACACGGGAAATGTTGTCCGTCTTTAGACCTGAGGCGCCAGTCTTCCAAGGTCGGCCGAACAGGCTGATAGTTCTCTGTTCGGGGTCGACCCAAATGCAGGGTCTTCAGCTTTCTGGGACTTTCTTCAGAAGTGCTGTTTGCTACTTTGAAACTCAGATTCAGCACCTGGAATATATTTTGTTGCTTTTGATTATTAAAATTTACACAGAAAACCTTTTCTGGCCCTTGTGATAGTTGATCTAGTTGGAGTTTTGTGGTTTTTTTCCTAAACTTTGTTTTTAAGAAAAATACAGGTTCATAATCTTGTATATGAAGCCCTTGGATCCAAATGTATTCCAGAATTGGGTTTTAGAAAGTTTATACAATGCGCATAACTCGTTGACGGAGGACTCCCGTCTGGGTCGGGCAGCAGCCTTGAATCAAACACATTGGTATTTCTGCAGTGAAAGCTGTGGATGCTCGCACTCAATTGAATACATAGGCCTGATGAGTAGCCTCATCTAAATTTCGGTCAGGTTTTGCTACCAATAGTTTACAGCAGATATATTTGGAAAGTTTTCATTTTGGGGAGCTTCTAGATTTTGAAATGCAGCCTAAGGAATTTTGGGTCTGAACTAATTTTTGTGTTTTATTATTTTATGCTTTTTTTTCTTTTCCCCTATTTTGCTTTTCTTATTAAAAGCAAAGTGGAAGCTGCCAGCAGGTGTGTGGAGTAGCTGCTCCTGAGTGGCACACAGTCCAGAGGGCTTGGAACGGGCTTCCCGCGTTCAGGAGCAGGTGCTGTGCTGCCACACGAGCGGGGGTAAAGGTGTCCCCAGCAGAATGGCTCCATGAGGAAATCCGCAAAGACCCACAGGGTCCACTTAGTTTGAAGAGCGGAGGTTGGGGGGAGCGGGGCATGCTGAGAGCACGGGGGCCTGTTGGTACAATGTTCAGAGTGTTTAATAAGGAGAAGCTGTTCACAGGCCAGGTTTGGGGATGGGTGGGATTTTCTTCCATTAGTGCCCGTTGACATTTTCTGTATTTCAAATGTTTTGTAGATCTCAAGGATAAAATTTATAGTGTTCGTAGAAAATACCAATTATAAAAGATTTTATTTGGTCATGTTTTAATCAGGGTTCCACCAGAGAAACCACCAGAAGGAGACAGAGATAGGTGAAGAGATCCGTGTCCAGGGATTGACTCCTGACTGGGGGCCGTGAGTCCACAGGTCATAGGGCAGGCCTACACCACAGGCTGGGAACACCTGGACATGGCTGAAGCTGCCGTCTGCAGGTGGAATTTCCTAAAACTTGTGCTTCTAAAGGTCTTTTTTCATTTATCTTGTTTCAGCGAATATGACTTAAAGTAACGTCATTCACTCATTCATTTGAAAACAGCCCTCCAGAGCACTGTGTGCAGGGGCTGTGTCAGGTATGGGAGACCCACAGGTGACATTCCATCCTGGCTGTCAGTTCCTGTCCACCACGGGTGGCTGAGACTGTGTACTGACACTATGACCCTGGTCTATTTGTATACTAAAGCCAAAATTACTTAGATTTTATTTAAAAATAAAAATTATGTGTTTAAAATTTATGCTGCTTTCTCATAGTTGATAAGTGGCTCGGGAAGTGCCCTCATTTACTCTAAAAGTCCAAGTCTCTAGGAAGACAAAATTGAAGTTGCACTGTTTATTCAGTTAAAAATTCCCTTTTTACTAAGAGTGCACTTAGATCCTCTTGTTGCAACTGCTTGTTTATGCTTGATCAAAGTTTATTTGGTCTCCAAACCACAGCGAATTTGAAGTGGAATTTAAATATGGAGAAGACTGCTGAGTAAGAAGTGATGTTTTAAATCAGGGAAGGAAGGGGACAAAAACTGTAAAGCAGACACAACCTCTCAGCCTTAGCGTGAGGACCCCTGCCCGACCCCTGCTTTTCAGAACAGCTCCCGCCCTCCTTCACTGTCCCCCAGAGGGGCGGAGGCGGACCGAACCTGCGGAGCTCACCCCTTCCGTTCTCTGTGAATGTGGCTGCCCTCACAACCGCCCCATCCACCCTCCTCCCCGTGCGGAGACACAGAGTCGGGAGCCTGCCGTCCTGCCCGCGATGGGAGAGCTTCATGTTTACTCGGCTGTCAAGTCTTAGGAAGTCCATTGTGCTGCAAATCAAACTTCTTTATTATTAAAACTGATACTTTGATCTTCATCTTTTTGACTTGTGTTTGCTTCTCAGTTTGGAAAAGAAAGAAAGGCTATTTTTGGAGGTCACTAAACTATCAATACTCAATGGCCTATTACCAGTTAGTATATAGGAGTATCAGTGTATATACTCCATTAGGTATGTTCATAATTGTGACTTTGGACCTCTAATGAAAATTTAAATCATATTCTATATTTAAGAAGACAGGTTGTGTAATACATTTTAGAATACAGCCCAACTAAAAGTTTTTCTTCTAACCAAGGATAAACTTATCAAGCTGGTGAATGCAGTTATCCATAACAACTTCTTTCATGATGATTCTGTATAGCAAAGGAGCAAAAAAGTCTAATTTATACCTTTTATTTAAAAGGTACTATTGGGGCTGGTCCGGTTAAGTTCGCACATTCCGCTTCTCAGCGGCCTGAGGTTCGCCGGTTTGGATCCCGGGTGCGGACATGGCACCGCTTGTCAAGCCATGCTGTGGTAGGCGTCCCACGTATAAAACAGAGGAAGATGGGCACGGATATTAGCTCAGGGCCAGTCTTCCTCAGCAAAAAGTGGAGGATTGGCAGCAGATGTTAGCTCAGGGTTAATCTTCCTCCAAAAAATAAATAAAAGGTACTATTCTCCATATTTTCTCCCTGATTCTTTTTCTTGCCCTCATTTTATCATCTAAGTACCATTTTCTTTTTTTGACATGTACTATGAGAACCAGGCTAATTTATAAAGTTCCATGGTGATCCTGTGCTGTCACCTGGGCTTGAAGACATTTGCTTGGCACAAACAAGGAACAAGAGAGTAAATATGACCCACCCAAATGGCAAACTATTTACTATGATAATAGGAATGTCGTAGCAAGAAAGCAGACGTTAATTTTTAAAATCAGGACTTAATGGAAAAGGTGAATACCAATTTATAATCTAAAAGGATTCCACCCCCTGTGAAACTTCAGGAGCATTATATTCAGAGTTGAGTTTTCCCTTAGCAGCTTAGGAAGCACTGTTTTTTAATTTTGTAATTTCAAGTGTCTATGCGTACAAGCAATTTAAAAATTGAGGGCTACGCTTGTTAAAATACCCTTAGAAATAAGAGAGTTCACTTTTCTACTTTCTGTTCTGAGACTGTAGAAATTTTAACTTGTGTTTATAGTTATAAATCCCATAATTAGAAAGTTGCAATGCTGTTGGTCCCACCACACCTTGTGCTGTTTGGGGATTCTAATTACACCTGGTGAAAGAAAACAAAACAGAAGCAAAACCCACCCCTCTTTGTGATGAAGGGTGTTTTACAAAGTGAGTGGCTTACACAAAACTAACCTGTTTTCATAGGTTTACTGGTCCTATTTGATTAATATAGCAACTTGCACAACCAATTGGTACTAAACGTGTTTTCACAAACTGTGGGAGTCTGATTCTATGACGTTACGTCCAGTCTTTGATCTTAGTGTAGAGCTAAGTACCAGGCTGGATGGTTAGGAGTCCCGCCACCTAGGAGCTGTTTCATCTTGGTGGATGACAAACTCCTTCAAACTTTCATTTCTTCACTTGCCAAACGAGTGTTATCCCATCTACACAGTTATTGCGGAGATCGGTGTTTTGGATGGAAAGACACAACATATCAAGGTTTTTCAACGTGAAGACAGCTGTTCCCGTGTAGGGTCACATTTGAGTTTGACTTCAGTAGATGCTGTCTGACCTCGTGACTCCTATTTGAAACTTTGTTTATCACCAGGAACTTGGGGGAAAGCAATACCTACCTCAAAGAGTAGTTGTGAAGATTAAAGAAAGTAAGACCCTCAGGCTGTGAAGTTTGCAAAAAATGTAGGTTGATTTTTATTGCTCATTGACTATATATAAAGAAAGCTTGATTAACTTTGTAATTCTGTATAATTTATTCCTTTGACTACATGTTGAAAATCTGAAAGTCCCTTCAAAACCTGAAGATTTTCCTCTGAAACCTGACACACTTTGTATTTAAGTAGAGAACGTATAGTTTTGAATGATAAAATGGAAACACCTCTTAGAACTTTGGGGCATTTTAATATCAACCAATACCATTTTTACGGGGAGTTTGATATTCATAGCTGAACATCATAAATTAATTCCACACAACAATTCAGTAGTTCATTGTAGATTGCCATGTACAAGAAAGGAAAAGGAAGTCACAGGGGTTCTGATGAAAGTTAATCTAGTGGCATAAACACATTCTTTTGATATTTTTTTGACTTTTGTGTCAAAATGGCAATATCCACATGCCATTTTGAGATCATGTAGTTTCATTCGAACACTTTCACTGGTACATTTTTCTTTCCCCCTTCCTTTTGAAAGTGTGTCCTTCTGCTTCCCAACTGCCGTCTCAGTTTTACAGGATGTCAAGTTATTCTAAGTGTGAAGGCGTGAGTTCAGCATTTAAAGCTCACTAAAATGAGGCAGGTGATCCGTGGAAGATGCAGTTGGCTTAGGGACAGATGTGACTGTTTTCATGGCACGTGCTACCTGTGCCAGCCACAGTCAGGTAAAGCTTCCCATCTGGACACACACAGATTTCATAGAGTCCTTGTGAGCTGCCAGCAGGACCCCAAGTTCCCTGAACCAACTTGGGTAAACACACAGTTTCAGCATCGAGCACAAGCTGTTTGGGAGAAAATGAGAGAGCGAGAGTGGTAAAGGGGGAAAGAACATGATAAGCATGAAATTCATATTCTCCAAACGTTCTAAATGAATTAGTTTTTTCTCTGCATAGAAAGTGGAATAGGCACCTGGCTTTACTTAAGTCATAATTATCTGATTCTTTTAAAGCCTATTTCTATTTTACATTCAGGCAGGGGCTTAATAATTCCTTTTCCAAATTAGAGGGAAGTCGTATTTCCTGTTACACATTGTGTTAGTTGAGCTCGGGAAATTTGTGATGCTACACTCCTAAAAATGCCTTTCAGAATTATTTGACAAAATAATAGGATTCTTTTGCTGATTCGCATTTATCTTGCAATCCACCTTGACTTTACCCTAAATTGTCTTCTCCCCATTAGGATAAAGCACAAGCCACAGAAATAGATTCATCTTAATAATTTTTACCTGTGAGAGTGGGAATTTCTCCTAATTTTATTTTCCTATGAGAGGCAATTAAATTCATCCTATTAGCTAGCAAACATTTCCCTAACTTTTAAAATATTGCTTGAAACTCTGCAGCTGTCTATTAGATGCAGCAAAGCAGTAGACACACAGACTAAAGCCAATTAAAATAAAATGAAAGCTACCGAGTTTTTTATTCTTACTGTGGTTTCGTTAAACTGAAATGCAAACAAATGGCCATTGGTTGAGATGTGGGAATCTTTTTGAGGATGTAAGGAAATAAGGATTGTCACTCTGAGCAGGCAAACCTTCCCCACTCTGGGGCACTCACTTGTTAGCAGGAATTAAAGAGTGTTGTGGGTAGGCATGAGGTTCTTCCTTGCCAACAAGGTTAGAGCCTTCCTTTATTTTATGTAGCTTTTATCCATGAACTCCAATCTGCTAATAAACTGATGTCTGCATTCTGTATTCTCTCTCGGGATGCTGACCGCTGCCATGTGGAGCATGGGTGGAACCGTATTAGTGACATTACAAGCAAAGCTTCACTTGTGGTCTGGGACACTGTTAGAGCAAAAGGAGTCAAATGGGTGTCATTATTTGAAAAGCAGAACCTAATGAGGTTATCCTCCAATGCTTTGGGTTCCGTGGGTACTTGCTTTTCTCTAACTTGTTGGCTTCTCTTCTCTCCTTTCTTATGGCTAATTGGTCAGTTTTTTTCTAGTTATTTTTTTCCAGCTCTTCCAGCAAACTTTAGTCACTGGTAGTGCACGTCCTGCTCCCTTGCTCATCTACATTTGCCTTTATGAGATATTTTGTGGGAGACCAGACATCTATTCATTTTGTACCAGCTCCCAGTTATAAGGGATAGCGACTTTAATTGTGGGTCAGGCTGTGTGCTACTTGTAAAAATGACACCTAATTCATGGAAATAAGTAATATTACTTCAAAATTAAAATCAGTATAAATTTTTTCAAGGCAATACATTTTAAGTATGTAGTGACATTATGATTTAGTAATGAGATCACAAGATTCCTGATTTCCTGTTTTGCACTTATCTGCTCCTGGCATCGTAACTTTTTAAGTTACAACTTGTAAGGTTTTTGCCCGACACCTTCTATGTTCCACTAACAGGCTGCCGTTGAACGGGTCCTGTTGCCACTCCCAAGCTGCCTCTCGTGGTCTCCATCTACTGCCTCAACTGCACCTCCCTCCTAATATTCAATTCATATAATTTCAAAATGTCGTTACCCATATTACCACAGTGGTGTCTCATAACCCTGTGACACAGTTAAGCAAATATTGGTTCCCCTGTTTCACAAATGAGAAGATAGGCCCAGAGAGGCCCGTTAACTTTCCTGAATTCAAACCAGTAATGAATGAATTGATCTAGCACCGGGACAATTAATATTGAGTAGCACGTGCTCTATTTCCTCATTATGACTTTGGCTTGTATCAGTGGCGTTCTATTTCTGACATGAAGTACCACATTTTATCCTTATTGTAGTTGAATTTTAAAGCTCTTATTTTTTATATTTAATTTTCACTTAAACATTATTTGGTGTGAGCAAGCACAGCACTCTAGGCAGTAACAGATGCTGGTTGTCATTCACAGGGAGCTCCCAGTGACAACTGGATTGAAAGAAGCTGGATCACCAGGAAACGGCAGAATCGATATTCTCTGGAAGTTCTGCGGAGTCTGGAGTGCTTTTTTTCAAAGCTGGAAATAACAAGCGACTGGATAGTACCAATACCAGTCAAAGCTGTCTGGATTCAGTATAGAATTATTTTAATGTGTCTTGGGCTTTTTTCAATGCTAAATTGTCTTTTGCCTTCCTTTCACATTTTCTACCCTATGCCTTTCATAACATTTCTTTACGAATGACCACAAATTTAATATCCTGCTACCGTAATGGACACGAGTCTCCTCAGGACACACAGTAGGAGCTTGATCTGTTGAACTCACCATTCCATCGCTACTGTGAAAAACGACATCCATTTGAGAAAGGGCCTCGATCTTCCCAGCCTGAGCTTTAATATGAACACCCTTTGGGGCATCCATGCTTAGACTCCGTGTGGGGGATTCTAATCTGAAATGAGGGAAAGAAATCAAGAAAAAATAGTATTAAAAAAGCCGCCCCAGAGAGATCCCTCAGTGAAGGGCTTAGCATAGAAAATATAATTAGTAAGGTATATAGTATCTTCATGTCATTCTTGAATGCTAATATATTGTACATTATTCACTGGTAAATCTGGAAATAATTGTGCAGTAAAGAAATTAACTTCTCATTAATGGAGAGCCTATGAAATTAGGATCCTCTAAAAACATTGAAGCATTTGACAGCCGCCCCATGCAGTGGTCTCGGTGTGGTTAAGCTCTCCGGTGCACCACTGCAGAAGAAAACGCTATTTGTGAAAAACTTTGTAAAATTATTTTTTAGTTAAAACAAAAAGTTGTTTGGGAAAAAGATAAGTTTAAGGGCACCATGTTCATCTGTTATATGTTCATAAAATAGAACGTAAGTTTGGCCTTTAGGTTTTGTTCGCATTTTTTTCTTTTTTTAAATTTAGGAAGATTACAGGGCAGTTGCAAAGATTTCTTTTGGAAAATTACTGAACTGATAGAGTTGATAGGATGGAGATTGGCTTCAGCTGGCTTTGTTTTTGTAAAATTTCTCAGAATCTCCTTGTGATTATGTCAAACATTGATACAGAACCAAGAGTACATATGAAGAATATATGGAGAAAAATTCTCTTATTTGCCTCTGCCTGGAAAAGACTGACTTTCCACCAGATGGCACAATGTGATCGCTTGAAAAATCTTTCAGCTGCTCCAACCCAACCCAGTCCAAAAGTTTGAAAGGCTGATTTGATTGAAATGTTTCAAGATCAATGAGAGGGAGAACAGGATAGAAAACAATCTGTAATCCTCCCACTGTAGGTAAGAATAGAGTGAAGGCAGGGAGGAAAGAGAAAGGGAAAAGGCTTAAGAAGAGAGAAGTACTCTGATAATGAATTTACATTTGAATTGAATTCAATTTGCAGTTGAATTGAATTTTATTTGATAGAGTTTTAAATCAGATGCATTGCTATCTTTAATTGGCAAGTTTTTTGTCTACCACCGTTTGTCATAGAAAACAAAGTTTCATTTTCTTATGTACCTCTCAATATGTAAAATTTGATCTCTTACACATTTTGAAATATTTAAGTATGAGAAAAGATTTAGAAACATTTACGGAATTTATTGGTCAAATTCTGTTGGGCTTAGGTTAGGGAGAAACACTTTGAAATATCTAGATGAGCTTGGTCTGGCCAGTTGGTGTTTCGACCTCTGCCAATTGCCTACGAGTTCCTTCCTGGATTGATAGAAAGAACAGGGGGGTTGGGGCAGGGGGGAGGTGCAGGGCAGTGAAGGGAGGCGGGCATGTCAGCAACTTGTAGAGGTCTGGCCGATTTCAGGCAAGCCATCTGTGATCTTGAAGACCTTAGTGGAGGTGAGCCTGTTTCAAAGATCAATTGTCCAACAACAAAATGACCTCAATAGGATGAATTACAAGTTTATGGACCAATTACAAATAATATGATGCTTCTAGAAGAGCAGATTTCTTCCCCTTTGCATCATTTCTAGCCTTGGGGATGGAATTTTTCAGTTCATCATAGGTTAAGACGTATTTTACCAAAAAGGCTGCCATTATAATGCTCTGAAGTTTCCATGAACACATTGAATAGTAGCCAGATACATACACACACACACACACACACACACAATTCATGTTATAAAAATACAATTAAGATAATTTCGCTGCTAAAGCAGGTGAGTTGTAAGTTGTGTTCCTTTTTAAATAAAGATAAATAGAACTCAGTAATTTTCCAAAGCTTTGCCCATATTTATTTTTAACTGAGTTTATAGAATATGACTAGTCAATCAATCATGTATGATCCTAATATTTATTGTTCATGTCATGTTAGTGTCATTCAAAAAAAGGGGAAAAGTTTTTGAAAACTATGTCTAATGTTTCAATTTTCATTTTTCTTCTCCCCAAAGCCCCCTGGTACATAGTTGTAGATTCCAGTTGTGAGTGCCTCTGGCTGTGCTATGTGGGACGCTGCCCCAGCATGGGCTGACGAGTGGTGCCATGTCTGCGCCCAGGATCGAAACCAGAGAAACCCTGGGCCGCCGAAGCAGAGCGCGAGAACTTAACCACTCTGCCACGGGGCCGGCCCCTAAGTTTCAATTTTAAGTTCTTTCAGGTTTATATTAAGCCCAAATTTTGTAAAAAAGGTGAGAGACCAGGAAGCATAAATACAATTATGATAAGAAAACCTGGCCTAGAGGCAGCACTGGGCAGAGGCCCACTAGACTATGTCCCCTACCAGACCATGCCGACCGCTGGACCTTGCTGACTACTGGACTCTGTTAACTGTGTCGTCTTTAATCTAAAAGTGATTGGAAATATGTATTTGTTCACTGAACCCCCATTTATTAAGCCTCTAGATTTATAGGAAACAGTGGGAAACAAAGCCGACAAGCCTCTTGCCCTTAGGAACCCAACGTTCAACAGCTTCAAGGACCAGAGCAGAGGAATGACAAGACGCGATGTTTGTTTGAAAAATACCACTCTAAAAAAGTCCAGTCAAGACAGATGAGCAGATGCAGAGCTCTCCCCTCCCCCACCAATTACATATAAATGCTGGATAAAATATAACCAAAACCATTAAAACACATACTAGGCATAAAAAGAAAAAAAAGAAAGAGCATTTTCAAGGTGGCAGGAACAGAAGGAACTTATAGTCAGAGGGATGAGTGGGAGCTGAAATGCTGGAGCCCATGGAGGTAATGGGCAGATCCATGCCATAAAGACTGGTATTTTAAATCTCTACAGGGACGGAGTTGTGGCCATTGCAGTGGGAGGGGGTGGAAATGGGCTCCAGGCACACAGACAGAAGTTGAGATACAACATGGTCACAGCTAGAGTAGGCTGCTCATTCTGCGATGTGAGTGGAAACAGTCATAAATCATGCATTAGTGTAGCATCCAAACTGAGAAACCCTCGTGAAAGCTAGTTTCAGAACAGTGACCCCTGCAGGGCCCTGGCAGAAGTGAATGTGAAACTGGCAGTTAAGGCAAATGCAAGACAGTCTCCATGACAACTGCTCCCAGACGAAGAGCCAAAGAGGATGCACTCACTCCCAGACAAATCTACAAACCACACGAGAGAACCTGCCAGCATGAGGCGCTAGAGACAAGAGAGCAGTCAGAAAGGGACTAAAACATAATTAGGTTTAAAGCATTCAAAACGCAAGTCAATCATGCCCATGGAACAAGACAGAATAGAAAAGAAAGATTTAAAAACCAGGTAAGTAGAGGGGCTGGCCCCGTGGCCGAGCGGTTAAGTTCGCGCGCTCCGCTGCAGGCGGCCCAGTGTTTCGTTAGTTCGAATCCTGGGTGCAGACATGGCACTGCTCATCAGACCACGCTGAGGCAGCATCCCACATGCCACAACTAGAAGAACCCACAACGAAGAATACACAACTATGTACCGGGAGGCTTTGGGGAGAAAAAGGAAAAAAAAATAAAAATCTTTAAAAAAAAAAACAAACAACCAGGTAAGTAGAAATTCAAGAAATTTAAAAAATTAAAGGCTTCTGGTGGATGAAATAGTAGACATGAAACACATGAAAAGAGAATAGGACATCGGTCTGTAGATTTGGTAATTCAGGGGGAAAACAAACAACGTAAAATCTGAGCCTCAAGGGGCGAGGAGGATGGAGAGGGAACTTCCAGTGTCGTGGACAGGGATCGCAGAGCAGGGCCCTGCACGAAGGTTCTTACCTTCCTTTTTCCAAGGACTATTTGGCACTCTGGTGAAGTCTATGCATTTAATATTTTTAAATGCACAAAGAATTTCAAAGGAAACTAGTAATCTTTAAATACAAGTGTAAAAATATCTTTAAATGTGTGATACAGTAATTTATGAGCGTATGTAGTAATGCATTAAATAATATCTGGTCATAGGTTCTACAACTGCTGTAATTTCAAAGCAGTGAAGAGCATGAAAAGTATTTTGAGATACTTGCTATGACTTTCATGTGATATGAAAATATCTGCGGCTTCTATAGGTGAAAAAATCCAAGGAACTGCTAATATTACTGTGGTTGTTGCATCATTTATAGTTGAAGGAATGCAAAATTTCAACTAGAGTTCAGTGATGAAAATGAAGACTTTCTTTTTCACATTCAGAATCATTAACCTGCTAAATTCTATTCTTGGACCCCCAAGGGATCCACAGACAGCAAGTTGAGAAGCCCTGTAATCTAGAGAATGAGGAAGACACAGATATGAAGAGGTAACGTTTAATAATTTTCCAGAATTGAAAAATAACATGAGTCCCTAAAGCGGAAGAAGTGCACCAATACCCAAGTATGAATGAAACCATACCCAACACCCAAACACTATATGATGAAACTGCAAAACGTTAAGATTAACGAGAAAGTCTCAAAAGTGTTCTGAATGAAAATCAGATTGCTTACAAAGAACCAAAAGTAATGAATAATATCTTAAAAATGCTGATGTAAAATTATTGTCAGGCTAGACATATATCCCAGTGTAACTATCATTTAACTGTGAAGGAATTAGACATTTCAGGTCTAGAGGGAAAAAGTTTATAGATCCTCACTGAGGAAGCTACTTATGAAAATTAAAACCAGAAGAAAAGGTATTTTGCGAGAAGCAGTGGTCAACATTAGAAGAATCAATCAGATGTGTTGGTAAAGCTAAATATGTATGCTTGAAAAAAATAAAGTAGGGAGACAAGTCAAAGCAAAATTGAAATAAAACAACATGGAACATATATGTCTTTAAATCTTGCATTAAAGCAAAAGAACTTACTTTCACTATAAAAATTTAGGAATAACTCTAAGTTTGTATTTTGGTTTATTAATGATCTATGCAAAGACATTTTATAGATGTAGTCATATTTATACTAAAATGTTTACACTTTTAATAATAGTTACTTTCATTTATGATATTCATTATGATTTATGATAAGGTTTGAAATATTCAGACATTTCACTTGAATTTATAGAAAAC